CAAAATAAAAATGAAAGAATTTACAGATCAGTCATAATAGTTCACTGTCAAAACCAAGAAACTTACATTTATATAATTAGAATTCTCAAAGTAGACAGGAGTAGGCAATAAATATTTAAAGATTTAAAATTTCTGAATTTAGTTCAACTTATAATACCATATTTCCAAGAAAAATGAATCTTTTGCACAAGAAATTTAAATCATACCAAGATACACAAAAATGAAATTGTCCAAAACTTGTTGTAAGGAAAAAATCATTAAAGCTTATATATATAAAGAATATTAGCTATAGAAGAACAAAATTGAATAGCATCTTATTCCACACTAGAAAGAAAAAAAAGGACTAAGTGTGTAAAAAACTAGACTAACTAAAGGACTGAAAGAAAAGAAAAGATCTGTCCTCTTTGAATTTTATACTTAGCAAAAATACCTTTGAAAACTAAAAGTAAGATTTCAGGTCTGATGCCCATTCTTAATTTGGGTTCTTAAATTTGAGGGTTCTATTTTTTTCTTTAAATATTCTTGATATTATTTTTGTTTCTGAGGAGTAGTTGGTAATTTTTTTCTCTATTTTTATGTTGTCTTTTTACTCTATTGGTGGTTTATCTTCACTGTACAGAAGATCTTTTTTTACTTTAATGTGCTAACATTTGCTGATTCTTAATCTTTTTTCTTGAGCAAGTAGGGTTTTGTTTAGAAAGTATGTGCCTGAACTTATTTCTTCAACAGTTTTATCTATTTTATCTACCAGCAAAATAACAATTTCTGTTCTAATGTTTAGATATTTGATCTATTTTCAGTGTAGTTTAGGGCATGGTGAGATATATGCATCAAGGCTCAACCTTTGCCATGTGGATAGAAGGTTCCTCAGCACCAATTTTATTTTTAAAAAAATTTTTAAAAGTAGTACAAAATAGTATTAAAACAAAATTTGCAAGTGATACAGAATTTCACTTAACAAAATAATATGAATTTCACAGTGTTTGTTGTAATGCATAGTATTGTCTTCCACCTAGTTGTTCATGTTACCAGATAAATGCATGCAGAATTGAAGAAGAAGAAGAAGAAGAAGAAGAAGAAGAAGAAGAAGAAGAAGAAGAAGA